TACAAATGCTTTCCAGCAACGTCACCACCTTTGATAGACGATGGACTATTGCACGATCATAATACTCTTAGTGTTGGAGGCGGTAGTGTCATGCTCAGCCACCATAACGTCCAACAGGTACGGTTTTTTACCTGGTTTTTTCAAGGACCTTAATGCTTTTGAACCTTATTTTTTTCAGGTGCATCATCAGCAACACGCAACCACTTCACAACAACAATCGTCCAACACGCATCATGTTCCTGTGGCTCAGCTCATGGTTCAGCATGGTACGCAAAGATCTTACTTTTTTACGAGTCACTTGACTTGTCAGAGCAGCTTGTGTATTCATTTCAATATCTTTCTGTGCGAAGCAGTAGCATATAGAGCGTAGCTCGTAGTGCCACTTTTTATTTCTGGTAATTGTTTCTTGGCATTTCTTTCTGTCCCAAAGTTGAAATGATGGCTTTGGGACAAGTTCGAACGAGGAAATGCTATAAAAATTGATGGCACTTAGGTTGACATTCACATGTTTATAACATGCTGCTTGAATGCCAGCTAGTACAACCATTGAACAATTGAATTGTTATACTTATCTGTATTTTTCGCTGCCTTAATTTGAAACTTTTTGTCATCGTTCTTGATATACCTTGTTTTCTCGTCAGGCACACAAATCAATGTGGTTAGTACAAGGCAACAATCGAGTGGAGGACAGCGATTTATCCAGCAACCGGTTACGGTGCAGCCGCAAATGCAGTACACTGTTTTGACTAGTCAGCCTCTTCCACCTCAACAAGACGAAGAAATCGAATTTACAAACTCAATTGCTGCTCATCTTTCTCGGTTGAACGAGGATGAAGTAAGTTTTACACTTTGTGATTACTTGTAATTGCATTTTCTTGACCCTATCTTTCACATTTACTCATGCAAACTTACAGAAAGCAGTAGCAAAGATGAATATTCAGCGGATACTGATGGATGCGAGGTTTGGTATTGGGGCGTGTGCTAGAATGATACATGAAGAAGAATTTAACGAAGCAGCTGTAACAACTGCTGTCCCACATGAGCTAGCCTCTGCGCAGCAACATGTTGATAATACTTCACGACGGTGATAAGTTCTATTTAAGTTGGAACCAACCCAGCAGTTTCCTACAGTCGAAGGATTTTTTGCGACTGTCTCTTGAATTTCATTTTTTGGAAGAGACTTGGCAGTCACTCTTCATCTTTTATTTGTTCAGGAGCTTGGAATTTTCTTTAGTAAGAATTTTCATGAGCAACAGCTTAATAGTCACTGTCTGGGCATATTTTTATGTGGTTTGGTTACTAGTTCTCTTTTTGTATAGCTCGATCTCAACTCCTTACGGTTTGTGTACTTTTTGCATGCGTTTGTTCAAATGCTCGTATTTTTTCATTCACCTTTTTGGACATTGTATCTCCATTTTCAAGTATTCATATTTAGGTTATTTAAGTCAGGGAGCAAAGGTTGAATTTCTGAGAGTGGAATTTGCTGTATATGAGGATGTGTTCAAGGGGGGTGGGGGAGTTGTCCTATTAAAATGGGCAAATTTAGTGGTTAAACGTAACGAATTGTTTTCTAGTCATTATTTGGAGAGCGCTTTTCTGGTTTATCAGTTGTTGAACTGATTTCGGGGTCATATTTTGCAATGTTGGTAACTTCCCCGACTAACTGTTGAATAATGCTAATAGTGTAGCGCTCATGTCATGTCGGTGTCGTCATGATGTATTGACGATAAATATGTTGTACACGATGTTAATAAATGCATCTAGCTCTTGTTTTTTGAAGTTCTTGATGGTGCTGGAAAATCGTTTTTTAAGGTGTTTGGTGAGGGGAAAGGGTGTAGATGTGGCTGTATTTAGCAGGGTAATGGTAGCACCATGGCAGAACGAGGTGTCCACTTGAAGGAGGAGTGTAACTTTCCATGATTAGGTGTTTTTGCGTGAATATAGGAGAGTGTATTACGGCAGAGTCCGTACGGGTCTGCTGGATGACGCTGCTGAGCACGGGAGTTCGTCGAATGCAAAAAGATAGCGCGGCACAACCACTTATCAGCTGTCCCGGGCGACTTGCGCTATGGGAAGCAAAGGCGCGCATACCAAGGATGTGGGCCTGTGGTTAACCATTTTCGGGTAATTTGTAACCGTGAGCATTGGTTTTATACATTTTGCCAAAAAAACTAGCCAAGATTTTTGGGATTTTAAACCTTTCTGCACATCCTTACCGCAGAAGCGTTACGATTCTAAAATTTTCAATGTATAAGGGTGCTCCTTCCAAAAAAAATGAAGCAGCTGGAAGTAGGCAACTAGATTTCATCTACTTTAAGTCTTCAGCATGCACTAAGCGATTGTTTTTTACTGAATTTTGGAGAACACCACCAGGTTCAGTTTGACTTTCGAACCGGAAAAATATACTGCCCAGACAAAGAATCCAGGTAGTGCTTGTGGCACGATAGGGCAGTCAAGCATAATTACCACCGAACGATGTGTAAGTAAACTGAGTAAATACAACACCAATCATTTTGAATAAAATGGGATTGAAGGCAGTCACCTATTTTTCCCCACCCCTCTACTGTTCACGACATAACAAGTATTCCGACGTACGTCGCTTCCAGAAGCGTTCAATCGCCGTCTAAAATTCGTTTTACGCCTTTAATACTCTGAGATCCATTACCTTCTGAACGAAACTTACAGTGATTTAGAGAACACCCATATGACAAGCTAGCGGGTTCCGTCCCGACCGAAAGCGGCACTCCCATTGCCGAACAACTGCTTAGGAACTGAAACGCTGTAGTACCCAAAAACGACAAAACCACCACGCGATGGTTTCTAAATATAAGTGGGCCGCATTTCGGTAAACTCTGCTATATGAAACAGAGCCTCCCGTTGTGTAAAAATTTGTTCCCCACGGCGTCGAACGTTAAAGAAGTCAAAAGAAGACAAAAATAACTATTTTAATTTAAAAACTTAGCTATTACTCAACAAAGGTTCCAGCAATGGATGACTTCTGAAACATAACAAATCAAAGCGAACAATATGAGTATGCAACAACTTGACACAACAACTCAAAACATGTAACGAAAATTCACTTCCTGCCAATTAAAATGGTCATCATTATCTACATTGCGCTAATGCTATCAGCCGGGCAAAACACTAGTGGGATTGCTAAATAACTAAAAACTAAATTTTCTGGCCAGATTTTTACTAGAAGTGGATCAATCCAAAACACCGAGCTGTCTTTTAAAAATTAGTGCTTTACGACTTTACTGTTTGCCAACAAAAGTTCTGATTTTGCTTAGCAGCGAAACATATTGGGAATGTTCATAATGAGTCGCAAAATTCACTAAATCTTGACAAAATTTAGCGTTAAATCCTCGCTCTTCCAGATATCGCAAGAAAAGAAGCTCGTGAAGATGCTGAAAAAGACAAAATTGAGGTGCTGGGACAATATAATTATAATTTGCTACAAAAAAAAGAGATGCACTGAATATGTGGAGGCAAACGTATGCTTGAGAAAAGATGGGAAATTAAAAAACATCAAACAATGAACCACTTACAGGATCGATATATTTTCCCGATGATGCGTAAACTGAATCATCAACCGTTTCATCCTGGCCTTTTGCAGCTGGTGCCACATAAAATTCTTCAACTCGGAAATCGTCTAAAAAATAGTTTGTAAATAAGTCAAAAAACAATTGTGTTATGCAAAAGAAATAGAATATGAAATCTTAAAGTTTTCAGGAAGCCATATTAAAAAATTTGGTAATAAACTTACACTGTCCCTCCTCATCAGCGTTGCGCACCAGTTCTAAGTTGAAACACAAACGTTCTTCGCCTTTAGTAATCTCAATTGAAAAAGGCGGCAGTGCCACTGGCAAAGGTGGCTGCTGCTCTTGCTAAACATTTCCAAAAAAATTAGATACCGCAAGATGCTAGATACTATTTAAAATGTAAGCGATATTTAAATTAACGTACTAAGCAAACTTCGCTCCACACAATTAACTGGTGGTGCAAATGCACAAGAATGATGCTGTTTTGTACCACTTCAAATGACAACAAAAATAAATAAAATGAAATAAACTATTACCGCTTCAACTTCTTCATCAAACTCATCCATGTCAACTGAGTGGCTTACATTAAAGATCACCAATATCCTGAAATTCAAAACGATTAGGCCAAAAAACTTATGGTACACTTAGATAGGACCCAACAATCCCAAAGTTTAATTCGATGCTGCAGCTGCCGTATATGAACAAATATCCTTCATAATGCTTCTCTCTGAAAATAACTCACTTTTCACTCCCGTGAGTCTTCGTAAGCCGAACCTCAGCGTCCTTCGTTGTTACCGTAAATCCAGGAATGCTTGGAGCATTAGCGCCACCCAAATTTTCAGCCTCCAGTTGTTTCTCTGCTTGTATTTCATTTTTGAGTGCCTCACACAATTCAGGATTTACAGCAGAGCAACCTCAAACAGAGTTTGATTAGCATTACCAGTTATGAAGCTCATCTAGAATATATGAACAAAGTAATACGAATGAACAATTAATATGCAGTGCTGTCTTATTACGTATATTCCAAGTGCTATAAAAAGACTTTTTGTTATCTACATTTATAGTGACATACATCTGGCTGTTGACGACAGTGATCTGTACGCTTGAATGACGCACCTCCGACCCACTGGTGCGATAGCTGTCGAAGCAAACAGTGTCTTCTGCAAAGCAAATGCTGCAACCCTTATGGCTGTAAGCCCCCGCATTATACCTGAAAATAGTACAAAATACTTCAGGTCAAGCATGAACACGGGCCAACTATCATCCCATCCACTCAGAAATGAAAAGTTTTAGGCGACGAATCAAGTGAAAATAGTGAAATATAAACGGCAACAACTAAAACTTTGCAAAAAGTGATGCCCGTCGATTTGTACTAACTCTTCATTAGTTAACCTCAATCTTCCATGCAATGCAGCCCGAAACAATACACAGGGGGAAAAAGAAATGGTCATTCAACCATCTTCACTATGCAACGGAAAGACTATTCGCTGATAACAGCTCAAACTGCAACTCAAAAACTACCTCCACAGCAAACCTTAAGGTAGTCAACGAAAATTCGAATCTTTTAAACCTAAGTTAGCTTTTTTCTTATAGCAAGACAATTCTTGCCAGGAGACAGTTTGTTTTTAACAGCTAAAAAGCGTCAACTTACTGTAAGTATTTACAAACCTGTCAGGAAGATGATCAGCAATGATCAATTTTTTGCCTGTTTAGTTGACAGTCAAATAATTTTAAAAGGTGTTCTCAGCTAACCTCTCCTGTGCAATTTGTATTCACAGTTTAGTGGTGGCATCATAAGTGATAGATAAATTTCATTTGTTTCTGTGATCATACCTCATATAAAAGTTAACATATAAAAACAATATAGGACTGACTGTAGCTGTTTATTGATAATCTAGACTGTTGGACTTTCGCAAAGAAATCAGATGTTTTTACTGGTTTATCGTAAAGTTGTTTAAAGTAAATTCTGTTATCACAGTTACAGAGCAGTTAAAGACTGGATGGTTTTGAAGACATTAATGAATGGAAAAAAGGTACACGTAAATGGAGCAATTTTAGTGTACGGAATGACAACATATTTTTGTAAACTACAAGTATTTAGCTGACTAGACGAAAACGAGGCAGTTGACAGAAACGTACTCTGTTTAAAATCTGAAAACGAATCAAAGCGAACTGCACTAATTCCAAATTTTCATTCTTTTTGTCATTTTGTTTTCGTAAAAGTTTACCTGGTTATATTATGAAATTAAATGTCATAATGAAAATACCTAATAAGTTCCCAAAAGTAGTAGAAGAATTAGTCGTGTACTTTTTGTAAAAACCTCTACAGTTGATTGCTGCATATATAATGCTTTTCAGTTAACACCATCAAATGAAAGAATATTTGTGTTTCAAATCGATCCACTTTGAAATTTTTTATGCACAAATTTCGGATATTAAACAATCACTTTTTGAAGAAAAAATTTGTTTTTCTCTACTCTTCTGCCAACAAAACATGGTTTATAAATTTTAATTTGTTATTTCCAATCAACTTTGCCATAAATAATTTCACTGCACTGCTGACACATTTCATGTCTGATAATTGAAATGCGATCGACGGACAGTATAATTTCGTTTCAATTTACAGTTTCTGCCAAAAATCGTATAAATTAAAAGTGCATTGCATGACACAACGGTCACCAATGAAGGATGACTGGACAGCATATCTGAACGTCACTATTCGCTAATGCATTCGTGGCATATGGATATCCCGAGGATATCGATTAAAAAAAACTAAAAAAAAGTCGGGTATTGATGTGCTTTTAGCTTTTGCTTCCGTGGAACATCTCTTTTATAACGACCGATTTGGTACAGTCTGAAGAAATGTATGCAACTGCTTAGACAAATAGAGAAGCGAAATAAAAAAAAGTTGATTACTGGATTGAAGTCAAAAAAAAAACGTCAAATTATCAAAGAAATCTTGTTTACCTGGTTTTTTCTTTTTCTTCTTTAATTTTGAATGATTTGAGTTCACAACCGCTACTGCATCAGTTCCAGTGGTATGCTAAATAAAATAAATAAACTGTAGTCTAAAAGCACATAGAAAAAGCTAATGGGCTTTTTCTCCATTCTTTAGTTATGGTAAATATCATTGGTTTTTGCCCATCATCTTTAATCTTTATTAAGGTATCAGCTGAAACACTTCAAACAACACCTCTCGCTGCAGCTTTGGTATGGCTTATCCTTCATCGAGCTACGGCTCGGCTTTTTTAAATCCTTTCGCTTAACACTGTCTTACTACACCCCACTTATTTTTATTTGGGTTCAAACTGTAAGTAACGATATTATTTACATTACATTTGTCACTTCTTTAATTTGCACGTAATTACTTTTGTGCAAATAGATTAAAAGATCATGCTTTCCAATTGATCTGAAACTTCAATATGACAACATCACGTTTACACTGGCGCATAATCACACATTGTTTTTCGCGAGTTCAGCTTCTTACGTCGAGGGCAATTGTAATTGTTTTGGCAGATTGTAAGGGAAGTTTAAAGATGCTTCGAAGACTTTCTGTGAATTTAGAATAAGAGAAAACTTAGCCACAGACAAGTACTAATTCCTGATTTCCATCCGTCTCCATTGTCCCTTCCGTGCACCTACGAAGACTTCTAAAATCCTGCAGGCTAAGGAGGTCTTTACATGAAAAGATGTATTTACTAAAGCAACTATGCAAGATGTTAATTACGTACCAACTAAGTATCAGTTACTGGAAAACTGCTGAAGCTAAAGATAGTTAAAGACGATGTTTGCATAACAGTAGAGGCTACCATAACCTTTTGGTTGTTGTCAGCGAAATAATGAGAGCCTCTGCAACAATTTGTCAGCACAAAACTAGTTAAAAATCATGACAAGTTGAACCAGGGAATCGGTGGAGAACGATTTAATCGCTTATCTTATACCACTTTGAACAGACAACAACAACCAGGGCAGTGTTAGACATTTACTTGATTATATACTCAGCCTCTTCTGAAACCTCTGCAGCAAAATTAGGAGAAAAGTAGTAATACTTATGGGAAAAATTGATTTAATTTGTGGCTTTCAAAAGTAGGTAAAGAAGAATTTTTTTATCTTTGCATACCATACAGTGCTTCAGTCCACTGCGCTTATTATAACTTTAAATTTAAATAATTAATTTAATGGTGTGAATTATGAGTCACAAACGGTCATTACATACAAATCTACTCGCGATATCAAAGTAAAAAGATTTTTTATCGAGGCGACAAACATCACAATTAATTTACTTTTGCTAAAATACAAATCTAATAGCTTCCTAATTTTCGTTAAGTATTTTCAAATTCTAGATAACATGACTAAACTTCATGTAATTTATTAATGCCCGCTGTTCTTCACATTACTTACAAAGTTATAAAAACTTTAAGGAACTAATTTCAAACACTTCTCATGTCAGTTTCAAATGAATTTACAGTTATTAATTTACATCCTGGCACTGAATTTCCTTAAATGTACCAGTAAAAAATCTACAAATCCTTTTTCTCCATGTTAGTTATTCCGTTCTTGACGAAAGGAAGAAAATTGCATGAACCATTCTACTGCTGTTGAGGGTGCTTTCTGTCTTCACACCGATATTACACACTGCACAAAATTCTTCTTATACAGACCGCTTGTCTTGTTCTATAAAAAGTAAAAAATCCTTGTATACTGACTACCTATCTTCTTCCATAAGAATAAACTGCATATTTCACTCTAAACTTTGTACTGGCATAATTTCTTCATCTTTCATTACTTGTCACTGTAAGACATAATGACAAAAGTACAAAAAAAAAAAAAAAAAAA